AAAGTAGACAATTATTGTCTATAATTAAATGTTATTTTGACAGTTTGACAGAGAGAGAGAAAGAGAGAAAGATAAAAAAGGAAATGGATGAATAAGTGATGATTTGGTACTATCAGCTGTATAAATACAAGTATTCACCTTTTTACTGTGAGTGTTTCATCAACAAAAATAATTGAAATGTGTCGGTTTTGGAAGACTTAGAAGTAATTCTGAATCTTATTTCATTAACAGGAGTGATAATAGGATAAAGAATTAACTAATGAACAATAAACGGGCAGTAGAAAAAGAAGGAATTAAAGTTTCTCTAAATGACCTCATTTTATGAGAAAAGTGCAAAGGGAAATGAAAAGAGATGTTATAAATATGAATAAGCATACCAGGTTTTTATCAATACTTCATTGCATTCATAGACAATTTTGACTGAGTCATGGGCAATAACTCACCAAAACCAGGGAAATGGATTTTGATTCTCACCTTCTTAGTGATTTGCTAAGATCATACCCCTCAAGAATTCAGGCTGCTGTACAGGCAGATGGAGGAAGCTAAAAGTATTAAATACTCAGATGAAATCTTAAATAAATACATGTTCTTTATCACTATGTTTTCGTCCATTTCACCTGTGGAAAGGGGGGAGGGGAGGGGTGGGGATCCTATTTGGAAACACCAGTATTGTATGTAAAACAATATCTTTGAAAAAAAAATTTTCAGGCTATTGTAAAGCAAACCCCAGACAAGATTTCTGGTCTTTTGGTAACCATGAAGTTACATTCAATTCATATTACAGAGATACATAAAGATGTTCAGTTGTATTGTTTTGATGACTAACATAGTAACAATTTATTTAGTAGATATATATATATCATGATTTAATATCAACTTGTCTTTGAAGACCAAGAAAAAATATTTTAAATGCTGGCTTTAAATCAAGGAGGTTATCAGATTTCCACAGAAACAATTGATTAAATTATAGAAGTTAAAAGAGCTGCACCAGGTAATAATTAAGATATACTTTAAGCAACAGCAGTCATATTGACTGGATGTTTCAGCACTATAAAATATGTTTATTTCATTAAAATACTTGCTTAATTTTGAAACATCTGAGTTTGGTAGAATACATATTTTTCAGATATGCTAAAAAATTATAAATTGACCAAAATTATTATGCTACCAATATTGTATGAGCGAATTCAAAAAATTATTTTGATATTTTTTAAGAGAATTTGAATATCAGCCTAAAATAGTATTTATAGTCTTAGAATGTCTATGCGTTGATAAAAATATAGTCTTACATTAAAAATAAACACATTTCCCTCCTAGAAATTTCAACCCAAAAGTCACAAATTTTGGCTGAAAATTCTCCTCTGTAAAACAAATCATGAAGACAAAACATGTGCTTATGTTTATATTTTGATCAAAGCAAAGACATTTTCAGACTAACAGAACTATTTTGAGGCTGCTATTCAAATTCTCATCAAAATAATGGAAAAAAATTCAAAAAACTTTTTACTTTTCTCAGACAATACTGTTTAATTCTACCCTGTAAGATATGTATTAAAGTTTTTGTGAAGGTTCAAAAAATACAAATTCAACCAAGCAGTGAGTCATGAGGCAAACTTTCTAATTGTCAGAGAAGCAATAAACAATTGGGATTGTTCTTTTAAACTTTGAGAAGTTAATAATATCAATCTTACCGGCAATTCTCTATAGAATATATTTGTGTATTGTTGTTATTATTCTGGTAGGTGGGGCAGACTCTTCTTTAAATATCAAACAATATACTTCACATGCTACACAAATAATCAAATTAAATACGTTAAATAATCACAGAAATATAGACTTTGAACAAAGAATTATTTTTTGCTCAATTTTTGAAGGTTACTAAACAAAAAATATGATAAAAAATCGCAAAACATAATGTACAAAAGACAACTTAAACATGTATTAAAGATAGGTTTCCTTTTTTTTTAGTGTCAAATTAAGCAAACTATTTGATTAATTGGTGTCTCTAATGAATTATCATGTATTCTTAATCATATGATTATGTTCTTATTGCATATAATTATGAGTTTTAACCAATCATAAATGTACATGTATGTACAGTCTGGAAAAACTAAAAAAGACTTTTTAACCTTTCTTGATTGGTCACTCATTGGAATTCTGCTGGTAATTCTCCTCTAATTTAGCTAATTATGAACTAATTATGGATATCTGAGACAAACTGGTATTTTTCCAAGTCATTAGAACACCTCTACTTTCTATTCATATAAGTATTAACATTTTCATTTTCTTAAATGAAAATAAGGGAACCCATCTTTAAGTCTGCAAATTAGACTGCGTTTAGCAGACATGCTTCAAGACATATTTTACATAAATATAAAATCCAATTTTGTTGCAATGATATCTGTAACAATGCATTGTGCATTTCATATCTGACCACACATGAAGTTGATTTAAACTTTGCCTCTGGGATGATGGCATTTTCAATGTTTTATGAAAAAATTTCTATTAAGTTTTCTTCCTTGTTTTGAACGGAAGACAATTTTTTGTCAAAATATTTCAAGACGGCGCTTCAAGATGGGAGGTATTCTCTAGGTTGAAATCAAATGAAGAACAATGGACAATATTTTTGCCTTCAAACACAAAAAATAGGATAAAAATGTTTCAAATTAAACAAAAGATAAAATCAATGTTTCATAGATTGCCTGGAAACACCAAAAAGAAAACAGTGAACCCTTAAAATTTTGGCACATATCATTTTGAAATTTGTTTATTGAAGGCATCTTTTCAACTAAAATTGGTACATTTTCAACTCAGGAAAATTAGTTACTGTCTTTTTAGGGTTGATGAAAATGGCAATCAATGAAAAAATATTGTTATGTGGTAATAGGAAATTACATTATAGAAATTTTAGCGTGAAAGTCAAGTCATTTTCTGGTGTAATTTTTCAGAGGGAAGTGTGTTTATTTTTATTATAAAATTATTCAATCTATTATTTTTATGGACTTACACATTTTAAAGGGACATTCTGCTTTTTTTTTGTAGGTCGAAAATTTTTGTGCTCAATTTCTCAATGTGTGAAAACTATACACCAAAATCTAGAGAAATGTGCCCTTTAACATATCTTAAATTTTTAACTAAAACAATCCAGCTGTTAATTTTCAAACCCCAAATATATTTAGAAACATTACGTAAGGTTTTTAAGTTTGTTATGTATTTTGGATGCTGTTAGATAACTACTGTACGGATTTGAGTAAAACAAACGACTAATTGTAGAGAAATATATCTCCTACATATTTTAAAGTTTTCAACTAATGATAAGGAGTTGTTATAAAACCGAACACCAAAATTAGGTCAAACTGCTTAATAAACAATTAGTACTCACAGTTTTTAATTAACACTTTTAAAACAAACTCAGTTTGATCAAGTAGATATATAGATATAAATAGCATACTTTAGAAATATTTACAGGTATAATTTACAACGTTTCTGATAATAAAAACTTTTTACAAATAAGCGGAATGTCCCTTTAAGGAAGTCAATCAATGCTATCAATTATAAGGAATGTACTAAAATGACATACATTTCATATCAAGGATACTGTAATGGACTGCAGTAGGCTATTCAGTGGTGTTTTGTTAGTTTCAGGTGTGTCTAATTTGTGGATATTTTGGATATATTTTGAGTGTGAGACAATTGGACTATATGGACTAAAGGTTATCTTGAGAACAACTCGTAAGCTAGTTGTTTCACACGTGATTTTGTGAATAATTAACTCACCTGTATGTATCAAGATAACCTGTGAAAGTCAATCATGAACTTTACTCACTTTCAGAGCAAGGGAGATTAATACTGTTTATTTTAAAATATTCTGACCACAGTTAAATCAATCTGTGGCGGTCATTTTTCTCACAAATACCATAATATAGTAACTTCAAGTAATCTTTAGAGCCACAACCTTTTTATTATTTAACTGCAAGAGCATTTACCATGCTCATACTTTGCAAATCATGCACAATTTTGAAAAAAAATTTTTTTGACATGTGTTCACAATAGAGGAATTAAAATATTGCTATGATCCATACTATTGTCTGAACAAAGTAAAAGGTGTTTTTTGAATTTTTCCCATTATTTTTATGAGAATTGGAATATCAGCCACAAAATAGAACTGTTAGTCTAAGAATGTCTTTGTGTTGATAAACATATAAACATAAGCACACATTATTTCTTCAAAATTTGTTTTACAGAAGACAATTTTCAGCCAAAATTTGTGACTTTTGGGTTGAAATTTCTAAGCGAGAAATGGGTTCCTTTTTAATGTAAACTTACAAAAGATTATATTTTTATCAGCGCAAAGACATTCTAATACTAACAGTACTAATTTGAGGCTGATATTCCAATTCTCTTTAAAAATATATCGAAACGTTCAAAAGACTTTTCAACTTGCATAGACATTAAGCTCTGTTATGTCCAACTGACCTGTTAAAACTGCGCATTTCACTTATTTGTACCTAAATGACCAGTGTTTGGGTCCATGATTGAAAGGGTGATTTTAATTATTTGCACCTTGTTTGGCAATACCAATTAATGGAAGTGACCACGAAATATTAAGATTTTTATTATTCAACTGCTGATGGATTTTGAAGTTCCAAATCTTAGGTACAAGGGTTTCAGTTAACTTCCCTTCCAAAGACCTAATCGCTTTTAAATTTGCATATAACAGAATCTGCCATTGCCTTATACCTTGACTACAATAGCCACCTTTCTTGTTTCGCTAATGAAGCGAATTTAGCCATTCAGAGCCCTCAAAATAACGATAAGCCATAAGGTTTACATTCTTTCTCTCAAGGGTTTTAATTGGCTATATTCACTGGTGTGCAATCCAATAAAATCGCTGTATTCTGTAAAGCAAGTAAGGTGACCATTGCAGTCAAGGAAGCTTCTCATGCTGTAGTCAACCCAGTAGGTCTAACCAATGTGAAAACAAAAAAAAACAAGAACGTCTATGCACAATATTGTTTATTTGAAGACAACAGGGATTTGAATATAACCACAATAAGAAAAGCAAGATACAATTAAATAAGACAAAGAGATAAGACAAACATTTATATAGACAGGTAGAATAGAGAGATAGAACAAGACAAATAAAAGCTAAAAGAAAAACAGCAAACAACAATAAAACATAACATTCATCTCTAAAATTGTATTTAAATGACTTTTCAACATTTGCTTTCAATATATTTTTCTTATAGCCTTATAGGAAATTAGTGTATCTTATAACAATATTAAAAATTATTTTTCATCGGTTCATTAAAATCTTAAAAATTTCCAGAAAAATAATGTTCTAAATATATTTTTTTTCTTATATAATTAGGTCATAACAATATTGTTTTTGTAACAAATATGTTTACACTTTACATACAAATAAATAGTAAAATAACAATTATAACATCATAAGTTATAAGTTATAACTTTTCTATTGTTTATATAAATACAGATGTCTTTCATCTCATTTTAATATTTACATTCATTCATTTTATACAATTATTCATTCTCTCACTCATTCATTCACTCCACACACTCATCATTCATTCAGAATTAGCACTCATAAAAGACTAAAAGCTAAGTTAAAGAGATAGAGAGAAAAGAGCTAAAATAGAGCTAAAATAGAGCTATTTCTTAAATCTGGTGCAAAAGTCAAATTCTTGCATCTACATTTTGTACTGCACAAGTACAGGATAACAAATTACTTTTTACACATATACACAAAACTAAAACATTATTAAAAGAAGCGTTGTGATTGGTTAATGAGCACTAGGGTCTTAGAAACCCAACCAATCCCTGATGTCCTAGTAAAATAAAAATAATAACAAATAGAGTGAAAGAAGGAGAGAGGAAAGGAAGGAATAAAATAGGATAAGAGTAAAAATATAAATATTGTTTATAATTATGCAAATTATTTGGGGTATATTTGCATATCCTCTGAATTAATTATCTATATATGGACATATAGGACATAAATATACAATTAGTTAATTTAATCAGCAATATTCATCTAGAACTTCAATGGTCTAAGAGCACTTCTGGACTTGTCACCACTCCACGATTTAGATTTTGCACGAAATTTCTTTAAATCATCTAAATGATCTTTATGACTCATTGGTAAATATGTCCTGGGTTCACAGAAATCCTAAAAAGACAGAAAATATACAATATCAAATTGTGCACATTCAAAAATGTGAAATTTCATTCTATGTAAAAGAGTTATTTCCCTTTGATTCTTGATCAGACGTCAAATTATCTGTAGCTTCAATACATGATTTTTGAGTGAAAAGTGAAAATCTATTAGCACATTCAAAGGAATTCCTTTTCCTGTTTGCATGTTCGAATCCATCGAGCATCTTAATTCGGCTGACATTGCCAACAACTGTTATTTCATTATTTAATACATATAAAATATGTTAGTTACCTTAGATGTTTCATAAAAGACTTTATAACCACCATCTAATAAATATAGTTCAGGGTAGTGGAGATGAGGGTAGCTATCTTTATTAACTTCTCTATCTTTATTACGTAAAAATCTCAACCTAAAATAACAATTGATTAAAACTTTAAATAGATGCTAAATTGAATAATAGGAGCCAACATAAAAACATTGGCCATGGTATCAGAAATTGTTCAGCAGATTTTAAAAGCGTGTTTCAATTTATTTTGGGCTCTGTAGCCCTTTCAAAAATAAAAATTTAAACCAATTTCTTGGAAAGCAAAACACAGCAATCAATGTGCTTTTCAAAGTCAAAGATTGAGGTGTTTGATGCTGCACTCTCCTGAATTTCAAATCAAGATCAATGACTGGTGAATTGTTAAAACTAATATACTTACAAATTAGGACCTCTTTCTGATGAGAATTCACAATGAAAGATGATAATATGTCTTTTGTCAGGATTCTCAGGAACTTTAGGGTTCTTTAAGATATCATTCAATATAACATCTTTAGTATAGATATTCTCTCCACCCTACAAATAACAGAAGAACATTTCATTAGTCATATGTCAAATGAGGACATGGGCACAGCGTAGTGTCATCAGGTGTTCTTAAATGTTATCTTATTGAATGCAAGATAAATTTGCAAAATGTGTTATGGATGTGGTAGTTTATTGGTTGAAAAGTCTTTGGTTGTATATTGAAGGTGTTTGTATGAGCAGGGTTCACTGTATTCAATTAGTCTACTAATGACATGACATAGAATTTAATCTTAAGAAATATTTACCTGAATGTGTCCACCTTCATATTCATATGGATATCTACAATCTATAATACGATAACTTTCTACATCTTCAAATTCATTATTAATCAATCGACACACCTGAAAAAACAAAATCAAAAACATTAACTTAAATATTTAGACAATTACATCAAGGCAGTCTGCCATTTTGATACAAGTTTTTGAAGGGCAATAATGGCCAGAATCACCATTGTAATGATATAAATCATGGTGAAATTTAGTTAAAGGGAGATAACTATAGAAGTTTATCACAATACTTACAGTTTGAGCATCAATACGTTTTAAATCGTGATGTTTACCAGTAGTGAATGATGGTAAGGAATAAGGCTGAAAGAAAACATGGAAAAGTTAATTATGATACTAAAATTGCACTGCACCCAAGAGCTAATGATATCAGATTGTGACGGTGAATTAGTCTTGTAACCATGGTAATGTTATCCTGAATATAGTATCGCAACCATAAATTATTATAGATATAACATTCCACCATGAACAAGGTATAGTCCTTAACCAATTAATTTCACAATTTTGTTCAGATGCCTGATATTGCCTTAATGCCAAAAACGTCTGTAATTATTTTGTTTAAATTCTCACCTTAGAACAGTCTCCAATTAAGTCTCTATTATCAGACATTCTATTTACAGCCATTTTAATCATAGCCTCAGTTTCAGAATGACACCGCTGTAATTTACGCACAGCAGGAAACTGAAAATACAAGAAATTTTAATTGTTAACCAAGATAGCAACAACTATAGGTAAAGAATGGATCTAACAAGTATGCAGTATCTCCACAATGTTGCAGAAGATCAAGGAATGAAGCCAGTCATACCATAATGGTGGCATTATTACGCAGAGGTCTATAAATACTGACCTCATTTTCTTTAAGAGCCTCTTCATCATCATCAGAATCACCGAATCTGTGTCGTTTGTTAGAAACTGGTGTATTCTCATCTCTTGGTGAACGTTTAATTTTTGGTCTGACATCAAATGATTGAGAACGATATAACAAATTTCGACTACATTTCTTTCTTAACTGAAATACAAACAAAACATAATAAATAACTATGTTTGAGCAAACTATTTTTCTTCATGTATTTCATAAAATAAATTCTTAGTCGTCTGTGGTTGCTGCAATAACAGTAAAACTAAGCAATCAAATCGTGCAGGACCTTTAGTGATAAAGCATATTTTTCAATTGGCAACACCAAACGCTTACTTTTTGTGGAATTGCAGGAGCCATAGATGCCTGACTAAAAATTGGAAAATTATACCAAAATTGTCACTTATATTTTTGAGCATTGTACTTCTGCTGGGTTAAAAGATAATATACAGAAGAAGAAGCGGTAAACTTACAATTGGTGTACCATCGTCTGTTTCTTGAACGTTGTTAGTTTTATTGATCAAAGGAGCACTGAAGAGACTTGACATATGAGATGGCATGCCAGTACTACCATCTTGGGAGGATTCAGAATCAAAGACATCTAGAAATCCATCATCAACATCATCTTCCATACTAGTTAATGGTGACAACTTCAATTTGACTGGACTACAGTTTCCAAATAATAACTGAGTCTTTTCTTCTGGTGATTCCTGCAAATAGTAGAGATTGGAATACTTTACTTGATGCCAGAAAGCATATGTGGAATAATTCAATTGATCAATTGGAACAAGAGACTTCAACGTTCCAAGACAATTTAGAAAATTTACAAGTAATAAGCACACTGTCAAATTTTTTTTTAGCAGACCTGGAAGCAGACACAGAAATAAAGTTGAATTAATCGAATAAATATACTTACTCTGGCAAATGAGACTGAAAATGAGCGTTTTTTACGTGGTGATTTGACAGGTGAATATTTATGAGGTGAACAAGTATCTTCGTTAATGATTTTAGTTTTACGTCGAGGTAGAGCTGATGGCGCTTTAAACATAAATTCTTCATCCTGAAACAATATAACAAGTACATAAGAACTTGAACATTTTTTCAATAATTCGAAAGGATATTTTCAAAATATTGCAAGAAACTTGCAATAATATTCCCAAATTTTTATGTGTTGCCAACATCATCCATCATGGCTGACAAATATTTCAGAAAAAATATTTTCATAGTAAGCATGTCTTAATCTCAAATTAAAAAGAAAAGTGAAAACAAGTTCAATAAAAAGAAAGAACAAATTCTTCTTACCTTTTCTCGATCAAATCCCAAACCACTATCTTGTGAACAGGTATCATCCATATAGAAATTTGGTCTTTCAATGGGACTAATGTCAGCATCCTGAGATAATGTACACTCTTTCTCCAGATAATCTGTACTGGGGCTATCCAATTGTAAGGAAGGTAACTGAAATAATAGATAATCCATGTTTCTCAATCCAGTCACTCAAAAGAACAATATATTAAAGTCAGATCACTCCTAGTCAAAGTTAATTCCCAATATGGCAGGGTGTAATTAAGACTGCATTTATCATCAGATCACTAGCTACAATCTTGATGAAGCAATCCCTGTGTGAAGTCTCCAAATCACTGAAGCTGTGCACTCATCAATCTTCAACTGAGATATGAGAAGCCAACAGTCTTGAAGCACAAGATACAATCAAAGCACTAAATATAATGAGAGCCCTCCAAACCACAAGATAAAATCTAGATATTATGTATTAAAATAGTAAATTACAATAGACATGCTGTAGAGTGTTCACTATTGACAGTTGAAAGATGAAATGATAAAGGTGTATGAAAGAGGAAGTATTTATAAGGGTAGAGATATATTTTGCCTAGCAGCAAGGTGTGGATTACAGTTTTACAATACAATCAAATCATCTAACTATATAATATCAATTAAGTAATATTTGACATTTATGATAGATAAATGATAAAGTGTATTGTATTTTGGAGATAGTTATCACTCAACTCAATTTCACTACTAGTAAAAACTAAATTATGTTATTAAGTCATAAAATGATAGAAAACACCAGTTTTTACAGAAAATGACCAAATTTCCATCCTGACATTTTTATATTCCTCAATTGGAATTATCAAGTCTACAGATTGTGCTTTATGGATATTCAATAGTAAACAAGATAATCCCTGAAGTTAATCCATTAATCCACTTACCGGTAACGAGTTCTTCCGCCTGAAAGCAATAGTCTTTCTCCTAAAATAATAAAAGAAATTTATTAGTGATATTCTCAATAAAATTTACATACTCTATAAATCATATAAAACTAAAGCAGCTTGTATTTCATTCAGACTGACCACAGCAGATGGTCAAATGGTCAGCATATGTCCAGATATAACCAAGTTCAACTAATTATAAGAGTCTAATTTTAGAAATATAATTAGAAAATTCTCCTCAAACAAATAATCAATAATCATTTTTTTACTTGAAAGTTTTTTTCAATTTTATACAAATAAAACAAAAAAATTAATTTTAATTTTAAAATTCAAATATTTTTTTTTCACTGAAAATTTACATCTTTTTTTTCAATTTGTTTCATTAAGAAATCTTTCATACGAAAATTCTGAAAATAATTTCTGCTTTAAAGCAAGTTACTTTACATCCAATTATTGCTACATACACACAAAGCAGAAATGAATAACACAATTATTGAATAATCCCATAATAAACAGTCTTAATAGCAGACTTACGTTTGATGAAAATCAGGTGATGAAATATTACAATTATTAAACGTAGACATCAATAATGTCTGATAATCACAGCACACAACCATGGTAGTAGTTTAAATAAATATATATATCCACAATAAAACAATTATAAGAATCCTAGACTAGTATTGGACTAGTAGTTGACTAGTTGGTCATCACAGTTATACAGTCTACTAATATTTTATGGTCATATATATACTGATGGTCAGAGTAATCAGTATACTGTTCCACCTCCCCGACCACACCAAACACCAGTAGGCCCCCAATAAGGTAAGCAACAAGGTGTTAAGTGAAGAGCCCTTTAGCACAATAGTCATTAAAGGAGAGACAATACATAATTTCTCAATGGGAGATCGGCTGAAATCCAAACTGTCCAATCAGACGAGTGGATTTAAGCTCTAAACCAATGAAAAGGCTGAAAACAGTGACTGTAACTATTGAATGAAAGTGTTGTATAGTAGGGATCAAGTCTATTGTATCTATTATGTGAAGAAGAAAATGTTTGAACAAAGTCTTTTTAAGTCTAATCATTTTTACACTATAAACAATCTGCTATTTGTAAGACAGATTTGGAATATGGAATTTAAAAGAAATCCCCCTTGACCACATTATCACCTCCCTGATTCTTTGAAGAAAATCTGCTTTTTGTAGAAGTATTAAGGTCTTTAGCACATGAAAAACAATAGAAAGTTTATCTGAAGGATTGAGAATATCTGCTGGCAAAGGGAAATTTCAAGTGAAAAATTTAGTTAAGCCAACACCTTTCTATATTTCTGTTATAAACCATTTTCCCAAGTTGGTGGTAAAAGTTGAAAAGTTGTCTGAGAAATTGTCTAGGGACTTGATTCCTGTTCTATTCCTACCTTTGATCTTTCTAATGTTTTTATTTATATTTCTTATAAAATATATTTAGAAGAACCATATATCACTTTGAATTCTTTGATGTTGGCAAGATATTAAAAACACATCCCTTATTATTTTATTTATTCAATAATTCTTATTTCGAATTCAAATATCTTATCAAAACCTCAAAAAGAAAATGCAAAAATGCAAACTTTTAGCTGTAAATGTAACTTTTACCATTTCCTTTCATTGAAAATTGTTGAATTTTTCCCCTCTTAATCACAATTTTTCATTTCATTATGACAAGACATTTGGCAGCAAATAGTGATGAAAGCAAAGTGCAATATGAAATTTAAGAAGAATATAGATTGCAATTGATATATCATTTAAAGAGTTGTTGACACTGAAGAGAAATGGCACCTTTGCCATTCAAATTCAACCAGTTTCACACCAAAATGAAGGGGTTTTTCACACCATGTTAGATATTAATTCTAATTTATCCAAGGGAAATCCAACTGTAATCTGG